TTGCATTTCACATCACACAATATCACATTTCTAACCACAAACCGACTTAGAGGTGAAAAGTGTCCGAACTTTTTAATTTAAAGCCGGTCTCTGCAGCTTTTCTGACTAATTCAACAATGTGGTAATGTAGAGTCAACAATTGTAGGTTACTCGATGGTAGAAACTCAATGTCATTCCATATCTCCTGGATAAGGCTTCTAGATCGACAGGATAATAATACACCATGACGGCTTTTCTGTCGTTCAATTCTCAGCCTGTCTTATGGAGGTAAGGAAATTTGTGGAAGCGATATAACAGTCATGTCTCGCTAAATTTTTGATAGCTTATCATCACAGAACCCTTCCATGTGGCTCGCATATAGATAATGTTTTTTTCATATGACATTGTCAAGTCATTCTCATTATAAAATAAACAATAGAAAACTAATTCACACGATTTTTGTAAAATCCCATACGCACATGTTAGCAACTCCAACAAAGCTTAACCTTGTAGCAGATTGTATTACAAATAGTAGTGTTATTAATAATCATACCGCTACTAGAGTACTAATTCCGAACAATTTATCTCCCAACATGAATGTAAACATAAACATGATGAAGAATATCAGTCAATATTATCGACGACTGTATGCCTACAGTCCATGGCACTTAGCATTTTTTATACCCTGCAACACTTAGTGGTAAAGGTATTATGTCTTTGTGCATTTGTTTGTAACATTGAGAAGGAAGCGAGATTGACTCATAGTTACTTTTAAGGATCTTCATAGAATCACTTTTTAAGTTGATTTATGCATTTCAGTCCGTCTGTCCTTTCGGCCGTCATCTGTCCATGTATTTGCAGGTCCGATTGAGATGAAGTTTTCAAACAATATTTGTTTGGTCCAAGGACGAGCCCTATAGACATTGTGAGAATTGAATTTAGATATATCTCCTATATATATCTTCAAGGAAATGGACGGAAGAAAACAGCAACATCAGAAGAAATGGTTCTAAAAGTAAAAAAATCGACTTGATCGAAACCCACGTCGCAGTGGCCGAAAAATGGCTCGTTAGCTGAATATATCGCAATATTCCATTCGGCAAATATTTAAAAATGAGTTCGGGGTAAAGCCATTGAAATTCCAAAAAGTGCAAGAACTTACACCGCAACAAAAAACCTGTATTAAAACCTTGGGCCGCCATTACAGCCGAGTTTTGGTCGCTCTCAGAATAAATGACGAATATTATCGCGAAATCATTCTGGAGGGTGTATTAAAACCTTGGGCACGTAAACATTTTGGCCGCAGACCTTGGACATTCCAACAGGACTCAGCACGCGCCACACAAGAATGGTTACAAAATGAGGTTCCTCGCTTCAACCACCAAAATCTCCGGATACCAATCCGTTAGACTATTGTTTTTGGAGTATTTTGGAAAGCAAGGTTGGCACTAAAAAATACCAAATAAAAAATACCGGGTATGGGCCAAAATACTGCAGAGCAACATTCGGCAGCGTGTGACGGTTTAATTGGTCGTTTGAAGGCCATAATTCGTGTCAAAGGTGACAATTCGAACAAATCTAAACTTATTCTAAAATTTGACGCTATTTCGACATTCTTGCTTTCATTCAATAAATTAAAAAAATTTAACGATTATGGTGTTTGACCTTGTTAAAGTTTTTTATCTCACCCTGAATATTTAATATCAGCCCAAATTTAATAGATTTATTCATATTCAACCGAATTTTACCGTTTTATACCCTCCACCATACTATGGAGGGTATATTAATTTGTCATTCCGTTTGTAACTCCTCGAAATACTCATGTCAGACCCAACAAAGTATATATATTCTTGATCAGCGTAAAATTCTAAGACGATTTAGCCATGTCCGTCTGTCTGTCTGTTGTAATCACGCTATCTTTCGAACAAATTGAGATAGAAGGTTAAAATTTTGCACACATGTATATTTGCCAGTAGGCAGGTTAACTTCGAAAATGGGCCATGTAGGTCCAATTTATCATATAGCCCCCATATAACGGTACCTCCCGATATTCGGTATTTCGATGATTTTTGCGACATTATTCACCGGAATTGTTTCAAATTTTTCATTTGAGGTTCGTAATAGATACTGCAGGATAAAACAGAAAATGGGCCATATAGGTCCCCGTCTTCATATAGCCCCCATATACCGAACCCCCATATTCGGTATTTTGATGATTTTAGCGACATTATTTACCGGGATTGTTTCAAATTTCGCATGTGAAGTTCATAATGGATACTTCAGCCCATGCCAGAAAATTGTCTGTGCAGGTTCACGTCTTCGTATAGCCCCCATATAACGGTACCCCCATATTCGGTATTTTGATGATTTTAGCGACATTATAAACAGATTTTTCTTCAAGTTTCGCATTTAAATATTGTAATAACTTATGACATCGTCGTATAAGCATTCGGTATTTTTAAGATTTTAACAGAATTTTTAACGGATTTTATTTTTTTTTTTTGGAAATTTGGAAATTTGTACCAAATGGTGGAGGGTATTAAAAGTTCGGCCCGACCGAACTTACAGCTCTTTAACTTGTTCCAAACTCAGTCCGGTATATCTATTGCTCCAAGAAATATTTTTTAATATAATCCTTATCGAAGTCATATTATGCACTATACAGCAATCTTAGTTGATATGATCTACATCACATAAATTCCCAAAAGTTTTTTGCTACGGGAGCTCTACTAAATACGCATAGTGGTGTAGGGTACCATATAGTCGGCCCGCCCGACTTTTGACTGGTTTACTGGTTTTACTTTTGTATGAGTTATTGCTCTATTCCAGAACTACAACAATGTAAAAAAATGTTCCCATAATATCGATGAACATTGCAAAACTTGTAGATTCTTACAGGAATTATGCAACAGAAATTATGCGAAACTTAGAGTTGAAACTAAAATTTGAACGATTCTGGAGAAGGTACCGGATGTATTCCACTTTTACGATAATTTCAATTTTGATGGGTGCCAGGAGATGATTAGGCAAAATTTTGATCATTACAAAATGTAATATTGCGTTCGCTTTCTATGAACTATATTATATTTCTCTTTCGCCGTTTATTCGCGGAAATGTTCACCCTAGATATTAAGTTGGTAAGATTTGGTCTGTTCCAGAACTCGAGAATGTAAAAGTTATTAATACGATAACCGATTTTTTTATACCCTCCACCATACTATGGAGGGTATATTAATTTGTCATTCCGTTTGTAACTCCTCATGTCAGGCCCAACAAAGTATATATATATTCTTGATCAGCGTAAAATTCTAAGACCACTTAGCCATGTCCGTCTGTGTGTCTGTCTGTCCGTCTGTCTGTCTGTTGTTATCACGCTATCTTTCGAACAAATTGAGATAGAAGTCTAAAATTTTGCACACATGTATAATTTGCCAGTAGGCAGGTTAAGTTCGTAAATGGGCCATGTAGGTCCAAGTTATCATATAGCCCCCATATAACGGTACCTCCCGATATTCGGTATTTTGATGGTTTTAGCGACATTATTCGCAGGAATTGTTTCAAATTTGGCATTTGAAGTTCGTAATGGATACTACAGCCTAAGACAGAAAATTATCTGTGCAGGTCCACGTCTTCATATAGCCCCCATATAACGGTACCCCCCATATTCGGTTTTTTTATGATTTTAGCTACATTATAAACAGATTTTCTTCAAGTTTCGCATTTAAATATTGTAATAACTTATGACAAAAGTTGCCTATGCAGGTCCACGTCGTCGTATAAGCATTCGGTATTTTTAAGATTTTAACAAAATTTTTAACGTATTTTATTTATTTATTTTTTTTTTTTTGGAAATTGCCAAATTTGTACTAAATGGTGGAGGGTATTAAAAGTTCGGCCCGGCCGAACTTACAGCTTTTTTACTTGTTTCTTTATAGCATCGAAGAAAGTCGCGAAACTATTAGATTCTTGCAGGCACTGTAACAGAGTAATTATTCCGAAAATTGTTTGGCTCCTAAAATCCAAATAATTACCGGATTTCTTAGACATTGCACGTTCAAATAGTGCTACCAACTTAATATCTAGGCTGAAAAGTTATGGTTATTTAATATTTTTATTCATTGTGGGAGTTGTGCCACATAGAGCGGACTGATATTACCTATATTCACTCCCAACCTAGGCCTCATACAAATTATGTGCATAAGTTCACCAAAACGCATTCTCCTATGAACTAAAATGATTGCTAATTTATGCTACGAGGCAGATTTTGACAAAATGTAATATTCTATGATTTATTTTTCAATTACCATTTTATTTTTTTATAATTTTAGACGATCTCTTACAATGTTGGGAAATAACGAAATTCCAGCAACTGAAAACCAAACTATAGCTGACACACGGCCAGTAGCTAGTCCCGGTTCCATGTCGTCATCATCGGCATCGTCTTCACCCACATATACCAGCCTATCACAACGATCACCACAGCCCAATGTTATCGAAGGAAATCCCTACATACGGATCGTTGAACAGCCGCATCCCAAAGGATTGCGATTCCGTTACATTTGCGAGGGCCGTTCGGCTGGATCGATACCGGGTATTAATTCTACACCGGATAATAAGACATATCCCACCATAGAAATAGTCGGCTACACAGGCAACGTGAAAATCATTGTATCCTGTGTTACAGCCGACGAACCCTATCGACCACACCCACACAATTTAGTCGGTAAGGAGGGGTGTGATCGCGGAGTGTGTACCATGCGACTAAAGGGACCACCCATGCGTGCCGTTTTCAGTAATCTGGGTATACAGTGTGTGAAGAAGAAAGAAATAAAATCATCTCTGGAGGAGAGAGAGCGAATTAATGTCGATCCCTTCAAGAGTGAGTATTGACATTTCGAAACAATTGCAACATTTCAATAATATTCATTTTTATTTAGCCAAATTCGCGCATATGGACCAACCATCCAGCATTGACCTGAATATTGTAAGACTCTGCTTCCAAGCATTTATACCGGTTGGGTCGCAGAAATACTACAAACTCAAGCCAGTTGTAACGGAACCTATTTACGACAAAAAGTCCATAAACGAACTGGTTATATGTCGACTCTGCAGTTGTTCGGCTAAAGCCAGCGGTGGCGATACTATTTTCCTGCTGTGCGAAAAACTACCCAAAGATGACATCAAGATTCGTTTCTATGAGGAAAAGGATGGAAAAGTCATTTGGGAGGACTACGGAGAGTTCCAACAAACGGACATACACAAGCAGACTGCAATAGCTTTCAAAACGCCGCGCTATCACAATACAGAAATTGAGAAGAGGGCACAGGTACCAGAATCCGCAATCAGTAGTGATTTTTCGTTTTGTAAATCTTCGTTTCTTTGCAGGTTTTCATACAGCTTGTTCGATTCTCCAGTGAACCGGTTGCCAACGGCCAAACACCCACCTTCAGCCAAGTTAGCGATCCTTTGCATTTCGAATTCTATCCAGATCCAGGTATGCGTTCATTTCCACGGCTTCAGCGCAAGTTGAAGCGCCGACAAGACATGGAAATATTTCAGCAAATTCTGTCATTGGACAGCGAAACTACGGCGACAAAGTATTCGGAAATTACGTTGAACCAAGACGAAGAAGGTAATGACCTCGACAATGACGAAGACACGGACGAGTCGGCGACAAGCACCAACTCCTCCCGTCATGACCGAAGCTCTGGCACTCTCAATGAAGGCGAAGAGTTGAGAAAGCGTCTAGACACCAGTTTGGTCACCGACGACATTGAGGAGAACGACGGCGTTGATCAGTACATGAAAGCCGTAGACGATCGCCGGCACAGGGAAGGGCGACGTAGCGCTAGTTTGGACATAGCCTTTCCAGTACCTCGATTTAATTTAACTTCAATTGATGACTGCACACAAACTTCAACGCCCATGGAAGAAATTTTACGCAACACTGAATTGGAAAAAATGCGACCACTAGAAGCTGTAGACAAAATAACGGAATGGATGAAATCAAACGAATTCGAACGTATTGACAGTTTGACAGTTGAGACAGGCGATAGCTGCTCGCTGAGCGCTAAATCGTACAATGACGATCGTATGAATACGGAACTCATTGAACAGGACATAGATTTAGCAGACACCCCGGACTTGGATTACCTCTTCGGTCACAACAATGACAGACAAAGGGAATTTGTTTCGGACACCACCAGTACTATAGAATCGGACTTTACGGACATACCACTACCAGTTAGGAACTTCTTCACAAAGGTCACTGCGCCGGAGGATCAATTCGATGATTCTGCAACATATTCTAGTCTACAGTTTGCATTCGAGAATCCCATTCAAATTCCCGATGTTCCCAAGGGATCGGTGAAAATTGTCACCACCCCAGAAATAACTGTAGAACAAGCACAGCCACCTCAAACACCACCATCTCCACCCCTGCCATTACCACCTCGAACGCCATCACCAGTGCCGGAACAAATGTTGCCGCCACTGCCACCAAAACGCAAAGCTTCTAGAGAATTGGACATAACATTTACCTCAACAGATCATGTTCTCCAAAATCGACAGACTTATGATGAATCGCCTACACCGGATACACACGTCGTGGCTCCTGATATCGATAAAGAGATAGAAGCTTCAGCACACAAAACTTTTTGCACTATCACGTCAACACCGAAGGAAAGCCCTCCGCCATCTCCTAACAAGAAAATGGGATTCATATCCCGCTTTTTTACCCGCAGGAGAAGCAAACCAGAACCTACCATTTCGGCTGGTAATCAAACTAGGGAGCCGAGCATTTGCAACTTCTCCCTGAATGAGGCAATTCGCGGTTCCGTTCGTTCGCTGAGGTCACTACAATTTGGTCCGATTGAAAACACCTCTCCAAAGAAAACCAGTGGCAAACCAGTAGGTCGTAGTGCCAGCAGTGTTTCGGGTAAAAGTCCAGCCCATCGTGAAGGTGACATCATCCATATACCCCTTAAAGGACCGCGACCCATTGATCGGGCAAGTTATGCCTACGGCGACAGTGGAGAGGGTCTGTTGGACCAGCGAAGCTTGAGTGCTTTGCAGCTGGCCAATGTTCCATTGTCCGATGGCAATTTAGAACTTGTAGCAATTGCAGATCGCGAAGGCATAAAACGCTTATCACAGGCCGAATATAATATATGTCTGGAGTCGGGTACAAACCTAAATGAAGTGGATAATTTTGCTCTGTACACGGTTAAGAAACGTCAAAGGAAAATGTTGATGAGTCGGGAGAGGATGAGGTGTTTGTGGCTGATGCATCTATGAAATAGATCCTTCAATAAAAAAAAAATATTATATTCTTTTTTTTTTTTTGACATATTCACTGCCTAGTCTGAACCCAGTCATATAGAATATCGCAACTTTTTTTAGTTCCTACTTAATTTGCATTTATTTTATTTTTAGACCAATTTAAGCGAAAGCGTCTTAGAACTGGTGGCAATCCTATGCGAATACTTCAGGAAATACAGCAATATGATAAAATGCATAACAATAATAGCAATAGTAACATTTGTAAGTTTTTTTGTTTTTATTTGCATTATTTTTATTTGTTTAGATATGAACGAATTTGGTCATTTTCACAAGAATTTTACATTGGTTATGGGAACTTCCATTCATATCGTCTTTATAACTAACTCTATTCATTTATCTATTTTTAATAGTTGAATATTACTCCATCATCTATTTATGTAGGTAAAATTAGATGCATTTAACATTATCGAAAGTAATTGTTTATGAGTAACCAAAAAAAAAAAACATGAAATCTATGAAGTCATATCGTTAAACCAGTCATTTAAAACATGTATCTTTACTCCTACCGAAATTCAAAAGTCCTCTTTAATACATATGAAACATATCCGTCCTTAAACCCATTCAATAGAACTCTAGATAGAAGCCAATTACGACTGAACAATTCGTTCAGTTTATCGTTTTGTATGTGGCGTGTGTTACCTTTCGCGTCAAGCAATTTTATTTTATTAGGGCAAGAATTATTAAGGCATATTCATAAATTCAAAAATTAACAACTGTTTAAAAAGAAGCAATTAAAAAGTTTACTAAGATTGACCAGCACACCTTTAAGAAATGTAAGAAAATTAAAATGGCTCACCCGAAGTACAAATTACAAAAAGGAAATCTTCATCCACAGTTTATTTTTATTGGAAAAGAAAATTCCTTGCGATAAAGCCAATAAACCAGATTATGTGTTGTAACTTGATGATATTAAAAAAAAAATAAACAAAAAAATTATGTAAATAAATGTTTCAAACAAAAATGAAGACCATAGTTTTAGACTTATTTGGATGACTTGTATTAAGAACCGTTGCTTACCGTTTTATTGGCATCGCCAAAAATTGAAAATGTTATGCAAAAATTGGGTAAGTCGGCAGATATACGTATCAGATGGAAATTGCGGTAATAGCGTCGCATGGATGTTGTTATTGTTGTAATAATGATTTTTGATAATCCGAACGAACGAACACAATTTAAGGAACATGTGTATAATCAATAGTTGTCATTTTATCTGTGAGCAATGAAGAAATCGATGTTTTTTGCAATTCCATACTGTTCAGCTTTAATTTATGCGATCAAAATTTGTTTATCAAAAATTCTTAAAAAGAATATGTTAGGTTATTTGGTGTATATTCATATTGTACTTCCCAAAGGTTATATTGAAATCAAGATGTCATACTATTGCAACAAACAAATAGGCTTAATAATATGCTAATTGTTATAAAAAAATTAAACATAGATATTATTTGCATGTATTTTTTTTTTCTATAGCTTTTTGTATATATTTTCACCCCAGCTTTGCTTCGATAATTCAAACTGACTGCATGAAAATTTCGATCTCGATTAACTTTTCTTACTTCAAACAAAATAACTAAATTAGCTGAGACAAAAAATGTGCATCAAATTTTTACGTAAAAAATACATTAGGTGTATCTGGTTTCCAGCATTAATTGTCCAGCAACTTCTTTCTGAGAGAGTAAGGTAGTTTTATTCTCTTTTGCAAAGAAAATGCGAAAAGTAAACAGACGGTATTCCTGCAGAAGCTTGCAACTAATCAGCTGATTTGTCAAAACAAACCGATTTGTCCCCCATTAAAAGAAAGAAGCACCACAAATTTTGCAAGTTTTATAAAAAAGAAACTAGCAATAAAAAGAAATATGAGCAATAAAAGAAAGATAGATTCGACGTGTTCCCCGGAATCCTTTAAACATGTTGCGAATCGCCTTTGTCTAAAAATGTTAGAAATAGTCTTTTATTTTCTTATTACATATTAATATTTACGTTTTTCACATTTTGTAAAGTTGTTCTTCAAAATAGTTAATCTTCCTAATTCCTAAAAAATATTTTCAAATTGACAGCACAAAGAGATATAAGCAAACAATAGAATACCTCTGATTGAATGTCGATGATTGAGAAGAAGAAGAGTTGCAGGTGATTGCAAGAAAAATTTTGTCCAGCAAAAATTTCCAAACTCTCACTGAAAGAACTGTCAAAATTTCTCTCTCCAACCGCTCTCTTTGCAGAACTTTCGGGTTAACAGACGACTTCCAGTAACAATTGTTACAAATTTTAGGGTAACCAGACTCACCTATTATATGTGCAAGGTGTCGCAAAAGTAAACTTCCGATGTTATTTGGCTGCAATAAAATAAATGAGAATTAAGTAGTAATTAATTAATTAAAAATAAATGAAAAACTTTGGTTCTTCTTCTGGATTATTTTTATTTGGTCTTTTAAGTTTTTTTTCGCATCAAGTCGAGAATATGATGTCATGTAAATGTCCGCCACCACAGTTTATTATAATTAGAGGCCTTTTTATTGCATTTTCCATCTTGACGGATATTGTCTATAAGAGCTGAAGGAGTCTGAGGCTTGTTAACATAAACCCGCGACTTCAAAAAGCCCCACAAAACGATGTATTGAAATCAGCAATCTTGCTGGCCAGTGCAAATCGCCAAAACAGGGAATAAGGCATCCTTCAGCATATCGATTGTGGCACGTGCAGTGTGTCCATTGCGCCGTCCTGTTGGAACCACATGTTTTCCCATCCCAACTCATCAGGTTGCGCAAAAAAAAACCGTTCGGCCCGCGACGTTTCGAAGAAAAAATTCCAATGACTCCTCCAGCAAAAAACAGCACACCATACAGTGACTTTGAGCAGGTAATGGCTCTTCGTGGGTTATATGCGGATTTTCAGTGCCCCAGAGGCGTACATTTTTCTTATTTACGTACCCGCTATGATGGAAATGGGCCTCATCACTCATGATTGTTTTTGATGAAAAATCATATTCTTCTTGGTGGCGATTAAGCGTGGTGGCGACTAAGCGTATGTAAAACGCGATTGATGGTCAGCAGCTAACGGCTGATGCACCATCTGGTCTTTGTACGGAAACATCTTCAAATCTTGTGCCACGTCGTCTGGTCGATGTCGACGGCGCTTCCATGACATCCTCGGTTACAGCATCTGCAGAACGGATACTCCGAGGTCTGGACGCCTGGCAGCACCAGGAAATCTGCCACGAAATTCACATGGTGCCAAAGTCACCGACCTATTCTTGGTCAAATAAGTAGTCACCAATATTCCGCGTTCTGGAGCAGTGTAACGTAACATTGTTTATCAACATGTATTTCGCATGTGTTTACTACAAAAATGTCAATCGTAAAATTTATAGCATTTTCTAATTTCTTTTGCGTCACCTTGTATATAAGAATTAATGTAATTTTTAATTTTAAATTGCATAGTTAGTTCATAGCTCTGCATACATTTAGTGCATATCAAAGTGAAAAAGATCTCACATTTATATGAGGAACAAATAAAATTTATACCTACATATTTCAAATGGTTAACATAAACTAATTGTAGCTGCTTTCTCACTAACGTCTCATCCCAGTTCACCTCTTAAATATTGCATGAAATATTTGTATGTACGTTAATATATATATGAGCACACACTAAAGCTTGTCAATATCTTCTTAGCAATAAACACTACATGGAATATACCACCAGCATCTCTTTCACCAGCCTCCACACAAGGAACAGTACCAGAAATTAAAAATGAGCCCTGTAAGTGCTAGCAAACAAAGATAACCTATATACATTACAATTTTGAATTTTGTTGAAATGTGAACTCGTAATTGTCTCTTTTGCTAAAAATTATTTTTATTATTTTATATATATATATATTTTAGTTTTATCGCCGAATTATTGTGGAACATATAGAACACCTTATCAAATGTCACCATCACCCCAGCCGGCATCACCCATGAATCGCAACAGCATGACACCATCGCCAGGTTTAATGAAAACACCCAGTGCAGATAGTCAGACTCAAATGTGTAACTCGTACAATCAAATTCAAATTAACGGCAACACCAACTATGCCCCATCTAATGCCAACAACAATGACAACAACAATCCATTTCTTAATGGCAACAAAGATTTTTCGAACATAAATCAATTGAATACATTGTCAACCTCACCGTCAACTAATCCATTCTACAATCCAACAAGTGGTGGCAGTATAACACCACTCTATCCCAATGCTAATAACAATGGGAATCTTTGCACCACATCACAATTTCCGAATTTGGCAAATATTACCACTCTACCCAACAATATAAGTACCTCATCATCAAGTGCCGTCTCCAATCTCAACATTGTTGGTAATCATCAGTTCCACTACCAGTATCAAGATTTTCAACAGCAAACACATGTCCAGCAAAGCCCCCAAATAAACGACACTAACGATGCTGTCGTTTCTCTGAACACTCTTTTACAGATCGACAGCGATAATTTCGTTAACATAAATTCCGAGGAGTTGCGCCTTTCTAATTTATCAATTTCAACCTAAGGCGAAGCAATTGAACTGGGACCCTAAACATCACGGGGCCCAATTGTGTGCCAATAGAAACAAATGCCCCCAAATGGTCAAGGAAGTCGGAGTTTGTCGAATATGAATCTCAATTTTGTTGATATTTTATTATTATATACACAAATGAAAATCAAATATAAATAAGTTTTAAATTTAAGTTCAATACACCAACCCTTTCTTTAGATTTGCACAAATTTAGAGGTAGTTGTAATACAAATTTCTTCTGTAAGTTTTGTAATTAGAAAAACGAAATTCCTAAATTGTTTTTAATTAAGTAGACAAGTAAAAAATAAACTTGAAATATATAAAAAATTTTGTTTTAATATTGAAATTACTGCATATTCATTAAAATCTTTGACAAATATGAAGAAAACATGGCCAAAGTAGTCACGCGTCCTATCATAAACTCTACTCTTCTTTTACATGTCTGACTTCTAAATATGGATCTTTTAAAAATGTTAAATTTTTGGGTACTCTTTAAAAATGACACTCATATATAATACAATAAAATAAAATTGACTTAGCTTTGTATAGCTTATACAATCGATTTATTCATAATTAAAAAAAAGGTCATTGAGAAAATGTTTTAAAAAAATAACTGATTTCAACAGGAAAAGTTATAACCTCGCTATTATTCACCCTTATTACGGCTGGCGTAGTCGTATCGAAAATTGCAAGTTGACGCGTCGTAACGACTAATTGGTATTATGTGTGTCGTATGCGAGAAATTACAACTCTGTATGAAATTCTGTTACAATTTTCGTACCACAAGACGCGTTCTAATTCGACAAACACTGCAAAATTAGTCGTTAGAGATTTTGTTGCCGACACCACACAAAAGTTTATCCAAATTGACATTACAAAAGAATAAATAATATACAAAATGGATTTTAATAATCTTTTTCTAGATTTATGGTCAGAACAAAGAAACAATTTGACAAAATGATCCAGATCTTGCAAATTAATCGAAATTTGTCTAGAGGTTACAGCAATGGCTTGAAAAAAATTAACATCAAGGAAGAATGGTGCAAAACTCAATATCCTAGGACCGCCGGTTGGATAAAAGTCTGGACCGACAACAAATTCAAATTGAGGAAAAAGCTAGTTCATACCAAGGCAGAATGTCGTGCTACAGATGGAAGCCCCTTCAAGCAGTTCATTTTAAGCGACACAGAGGAAGCAGCATCACACTTGTTACAATTAGAGACAATTGTTAATGCAGGGAAAAACAATTGGAATTCAACAGCGTCCAACACCTGGTGATTTGGAGACTGAGGAGGAACTGTTTGGAGGGTTTGAAATTAGTGAAGACAAAGAAAACCACAATCCCTGCACACTGACTTTTCCAAGGGTAACAGACTACACCGAAATACGCAACAGAAGCATGTGGATATGGTCATCCAGAATGTCTGTACGCTTCCCTCTGTAAGCACAAATAACCCGCATTATTTTTCGCCTCCATTTTAAATCATTTTGAATATACTCATCTTCACCCTCAGTTAAAAAATTGCCAGAACTTAACATATTTCAATATTTAATTAAACAAATAATCGTTTTACTTCAACCATTTCAACTGACGCTTTTATTTCTTTTAACCGGGTAGCTCGTAAATTCAAAAAATATGTATTATTCCAGAGCACCCTGCTTTTTCATATCTATTACAAAAAAGACGTAGTCGAAAATTGTACATAATACCAAAAAATTTCTAGTTACGACAACGCCTACGACTACGTCTACGACACTTGAACGCCTACGACAACGCCAACCATAATAAGGGTGATTATGTTCTTATACCCTACACCACATAGTGCAAAGGGTATTATGTCATTGTGCATTTGTTTGTAACATGGAGAAGGAAGCGAGATATACCCATAGATCGTAGAATCAATTTTTCAGTCCGTCTGCCTGTCCATGTATTCTTGTGAACAAAATGCAGGTCGAATTTATTATCCAATAAAAAATGAAAATTTCCAATCTGATGTGTTTTATTTATTTTTTTTTTTTTTTGTTTTATTAGGGCAAGAATAATTTAAGCATATACATTAATTCAAAAAAAATTAACAACTGTGTAAAAAGAGGAAATTAAAAAAGTTTTCCACACATTGCCGATATTGACAAGTATACCTTTAAGTAATGTGTAGTTATCCCCAAAATTAAAGTGGCTCACCCAAAGTACTAATTATAAAAAGGAAACAAATTTTATAAAATTGATTTAAATCGATTAACTCTGAATGCAAATTCTTCATCCAAAGTTTATTTTTATTGGAAAAGAAAATTCCTTGCAATAAACCCATAGACTAGAGTGTATGTTGTTATTTAGTGATACTAAATAAAATTTAAACAAAATTTTATGTAAATAAATGCTCCAAACAAAAATGAAGAACATAGTTTTTGACTTATTTGGATGACTTGTTTTAAGAACCGTTACTTACCTTTTTATTGGCATTGGCAAAAATTGAAAAATTAATGCAACAAATTGGGTAAGTCGTCAGATATACATATCACCAATTATTCAATTAAGATGAAAGTCAAACGCGATAATTTTTACATTTTTTTTTTAAATTTTAGCGAATGAAAGCAATAAGTGTCGGAAATAGCATCAAACTTTAAATAAGTTTAGATTTGTTCAAATTGGTCACATTTGGCACGAATTATGGCCTTCAAACGGCCAATGAAACTGTCACACGCTGCCCGAATGTTGCTCTGCGGTATTTTGGCCCATTCCCGGCGAAGCACTTGCTTGAGGTGATCGACACTTTGGTATTTTTTAGTACAAACCTTGCTTTCCAAAATACTCCAACGGATTGGCATCCGGAGATTTTGGTGCCCATTGTACGCTGGAAATGAAGCGAGGAACCTCATTTTGTAACCATCCTTGGATGGCGCGTGCTGAGTGCTGTTGGAATGTCCAAGGTCTTCGGCCAAAATGTTTGCATTCCCAAGGCTTTAATACACCCTCCAGAATATTTTCGCGATAATATTCGGCATTTATTCTGATGCCACGGTCGATTAATACGAGCGGAGAGCGACCATCGGCTGTTATGGCGGCCCACACTATCACCATGGCCGGCGCTTGAGTTCTGGTGGCCAACCGAAGATGGACATTTTCAACTGACCTCTTATGACGAAAAAATGTTTAGTACATGATACATTGAGCATGATGCTGAAAGTAAATTTTGTGCTTTCATTACGTTTTCGGGTTTTTTATCTATCTATATATATAAAAATCAATTTTTGTTTGTTGGTAACGGAATCAGTTGAAAACGGCTGGACCGATTTGCATAATTTTTTGTAAAAACTTTCGTCATACCCCGAGTTAGGTTTTTAAAGAAAAAATATAGACCACGCTCACTTTTGCGCCCACAATTTTGATTTATCTAAAATCCTTATATTTGCCAATATAGAGGTGATATCGGTTTGAAAATTATTGCACGAGATACTGTTGACTTTCCATCCCCCTCTAAGTATTTATTTGGGGCTGAGGAACTGTCGTTGTCAGTACTTTTTAATCTATATCTATCTATATATGTAAAAGAAAGTTGTGTTAGTTACTACGCTTATAACTTAAGAACCGTTGGACTGATTTTAACGATCCATACAAATTCGGAATTGTCTCCTCTCCGAAAAGGATAATATCCAAAAAAAATTGCGTAAAATGTGATATATTAACATATTAAAAAGTAAGTCAAAATAGAAAAAAATCATGCAAAATAAAACATTACTATTGTACATTTCAAAAGTCAAAGTGAAAGACTTTTGAAATGTACAATAGTAATGTTTTATTTTGCATGATTTTTTTCTATTTTGACTTACTTTTTTCTAATGTACATTTGTAGTGTGTTTTATATTTTACTAGCTGGCCCGGTCCGCGTTGCCGGCCCGTACTTTTAGTCTTTAAAGCATAATAACTCACAGATCTGACTTATTTAGGCGGCACAATTTTGATTATAAGTAATGACTCCATTATAATTACTCCAATTTTGATCATAAGTAATGACTTGATTATGAGTAATGACTCCATGACTAAATATAAATTAATATTCATGGCAAAAATTATAATTACCGTCGGTTTTAGATATTTTGAATAGCTTGATCTTATTTTTCAGCTATAGGCTTTAATTTGAGTGTTAAATACCTATATGATAAGAACATCTATAATAGCCCCATGTCAAAATTCAGATCAATTTTTGATATTGTAAAAAGCATTCAAATGAGCTATAATTTGAAATTTGTATTTCCAACGTTTAAAATCCGTTACTGCGTGGTATTCAGTTTTGTCCACCTCATACTTGAACGCAGAATGTTGTCGGAATAGCCAAAAAAATTACTCTTTTGCTCCGATTACCGTAAGATGGGCATTAATTATTTATCATTTAAATTGTGCGGTGGAGATCCAATAAAGTTACTTTATAATTTCGTATTTTTTACATGTTTCTGCCACAATTTACGTTATATAGACGTACATCCCAAATCTACGTTCCCAACCAATATTCTCTTGGGGGTTACAAATTCAATAGGTTACCAAAATTTCTTTTCTGACCACACATTGGTTGGGAAAGTGGACTTGGGGGTATACTAATGTGGGGACTATACTTAAATAAATTCCTATGAGGATAATTATCTGTGAGATGATTTTCTTTCCCAGGGTTTTTTACCCCAGGTAGCCTCAAGACTAAGATGCGTACTTTTCCGAAAAATAAAAATTTATAAGAAGAGGTTTTCTTCCCCCTTAGAAACAAAGATGTCAAATAAGGGCAAAAAATGAAAAAAGTGGCCAAGACCCCGAAAATACCTTAAATCATATGATGGTGATACCAAAACGTGATAATTTTTTGCAAAGATGGTTTCTTCTTAAATTATCAACATAAGCTAAAATTAGTACGAAAAATATGGTTAAAATGTAGAATATACTTGAAATCGGGTTGTTCCGTTATCAGGGGTTATGACCCATATCATGGCCTGGTAAAGCGATTAAAGGTATCTTGAGTGTTTAGGAAGAATTTCTATTTTGCGTTCTTTATAGTCGGTATTTGACTGATTGCAGTCCCAATGTATTTTGCATTTTGTGTTCTCATTTGACAATTTATTGTCATATGAAAGAAGCAGGTCCACTTTTTTAAATTAACCCCATAACGCTTCTTCGGTCATTTTGTTTGTTTAAATGTGTTCGCATCTTCCAGCTGAAGCACGATGTAGGTCCTGGAGTAGAAAGCATTTAACATCGTATTACGCCCTCGTTTCATTTTTAATATTATTCATTCAGAATTCAAACCAATAAAAACATGTACACTTCAATATAGAAAAAAGAAAAC